GGTGGTTGCGTGCCAGGGGGAGGGGAGGGGAGGGGAGGGGAGCGGAGGGAAATACCGCGCACCACTCGTCGTTGGAGCTCATGACTGAGAACACTCTCGTCCGAAATCTAGCGAATTATCCTGCAATTTTCGTTTCTCAGCTTTTTTAACGACACTTCTATATATGCATGTCGTCAAATCTGAAAACATCCTGGACCTATGGGAATATTTTTTATTTAATGACATATTTGTGATTTTGTGGTATTTGCATGATTAATGTATATGGTACGCTTAAGTTCGATATACGAAATTGAAATGGAAAAATGAAATTATGTGTAGCCGATTAATTCGTCGATTTGAATGAGTAAGTAAGGTTTATGAATGACGAACGAACCACTTCAAACTTTGTTCCGCAAATTTAGCTTGAGCCACAGGGTGCTGTCTAATGGAAGGTCATGATGCGAGTGCGGTCGGCGACAAGGTCAGAGCCTTGTTGACAACTTGGAGGTGCGTAGCGAAGCGTCAACTGAGGTATGGATTGATATTAGTTTCGGTTAGGTTAAGTAAAAGCATGTAATGAGAAATTTTCGACTGATACAGAGGAACTACTCTAGAGAGGAACTTGTTTTTCACTTGCAGAAGATACTTCCCACTTGCAGTCTGTTTATCACATTTTGTCCGCTGTGCCTCGTCACCCTAGGTACTTCACCTACCGTAGCCTCCTCGTGTTAACTATGGTCAACTTCAATTGGCTCAAATCCGAAGCAATCTGTTAATACTTCGGACTTAATCGAAACATTTGAGATAATATGATCTTTAACCGGCTAATTTGGAAATGAGACAGTTTTGGTCATTAGCTTCAACATGTACCGTAATATACAATCAGAAAAGAAAGTAAGAAAAAAATATTTGTAAAGATTTTTAAATGACTTTTCGAAAGAGCTGGCTACATTCACTCTTCTATTTCATTAGATTCATACCCTTTAAGACAATTTAATACTGCAGCATACAATAAATAACTTTTTTGTATAATCTGAATAATTCGAAGCAAACAGCAGGAAAAATATTTTTTTAGATAATTTCGAGTGTTTTTAATAAACTTTGAAGGACGTAAACTTTGATTGTATACCAAGCTGTGATTATTGACCAACGAAGCTACAATGGTCCTACATTCACCCAATGTCTATAATGTGAACATTAACCGTCAAATTAACAAAATACCCAGATTCGGGCATTAGCCGTGACATATATGTATGTATATAAGTATGTCTGTTGGTATATAAATGTTTGTGTAGGTTAGTGAAAATATATGATTTTCTAAAAAGAATCTTAATGTTAACTGTTGGGACTGTATTACAGGTCTATGAAGGCAGCTCTTCTATTCTACCTTCCCTTGTTGTGATCGTAATTGTCATTTCTTTTATTAAAACTTGGCCGATAGTGACCGCCTGGCAATAAGCCAATCGTAGCCAAATAATCATTACTCTTAAATGCATTACGTTACGCACGGCCTCTATGGCGCGGAGGCTGAACGTACCGTAGACGCGGAGCGGCGCGCGGTGGCTGACGCGCCCCACGCGATTGACGGCCGAACACTCGTAGGTGCCGCCGTCCTCCACCGCCACGCGACTGATGTTCACGTGGCTGATGACGTCACCGGCCATCGTCACGTACTGGCCGATCACGAAGCTGCAACAGGGCGCGTGCGACGGGGACTGCTTTGCGGCGGGGAAGAAGGCGACGGCCCCGAGACCGCCCAGCCACAACGCGGGGAAAGTAAAGAATTTAAATAAATTGCATCGACATGGCTGTCCGGGAGGCGCCGCGTCCTAGGCACAGATGCCAACTTTTCGGTCGTCATGTTGAGATAATTTTTATTTCGCCCTGATGAAGTTTGCCGGCCGAAACTTCGGATTCAGGGCCTAGGACGCGGAGTCTTCCGGACAGCCAGGTAGATACTGACTCCGGCCGCGGAAGCCTAAGCTTTCAAAATAAATTGCAGTTTCTGGTCGTTTCTTTGAATGCCATATTATCAAGACATTATACTTTACAAGACATTTCTCGTTAAAAGTGAAGGAGTAACAAAAGAAAACCAATTCTCAACTCTCTTGATAATTCTTTTCATTATCATGATGGAATACAACAGTACGAACAAACAACATGAAGCTCTCAGATATGAAAAGTCAAAACCAAAGAAATGAGCGCTCAATTATTATAAAAACAAAGGAAACTTTGTATCTCAGAATGTATTATACAAATGTAAGATATTGTCAATTTCAGGAAATGCACTTATATTTATTAACCTACGTAAAAAAACTGTCGTGAATTTGAGTAAAGGGAAGATGCGATTGGCAAACTTGAAGCTAGAAAAAGGTTGCATCTACTTCAGGAATTTCAAATTGAAAACTACCTTTAAATGGGAGTAGTAAACTTTAAAACTATTTACATAATTTTTCACTAATGCTTCAATAGTTTGTTTTTTCAACCAACATAGATATTGAATACAAAACATGCTGGAAACAAAATCATACATATTAAATATGTACAATTTTGGTAACAGCATGTTAACAAAAATGCTGTTAACAGACATTTTCAGTACACTTAAATCATAATTTAACTAATTTTCGAAGTTTAAATTGAGGAATATTCCTATAAAACAACTAATATCCAGTATTAAAACGTTTTAATTGTTTTCAACTCTTCTCTTCATATAATGCAGATTTTTATGGTTCACCTAATTGGTATTAAATGACATAAATCGGTCGTGAAATATATTACGTGTACTGTAATTGTAGCTAGGTTAAGAAAAATTCGTTGATATGAGAACTAATAGTTCTAAAATCTACGTCTCGTAAGAACTATATTTGAGCCATACATGCAACTGTTACACATTTTTCATTTCTACAAAATTTATATTGTAAATGAAAAAGCAAGATAGTGCAGAAACATTTATGCGGAGTGAACATAGTCAATCAATCTTAAAAGCAGCAATCTTATAATAAATTCCATTAAGCGTGTGCACATCTACGTGCCCATACATTCATGAAATGTATGGTTATTGTTTGCAAAAGTGAACCCATGGACGGTTTAAAATAACTACAGTTCTCGCTCATTATGATTAAAATCACAGAAACTTCAAACGTATGAAGTACTACGCTTCCTGTGTCCCGCCTTTCAGAAAATAACTTGAACATACAAAATCTGCATAATTACTTCTGAAGTGAAAAAACAAATAACACAATGATTTCTTAGGCTTTAGATTTAGAAGATCAGACGAGTATGAAAGTGACATAAACTCAGGTACAGTTACAAAAATCTCGAGAGGGATTCCGGGAGTATTTTAAAATGTATCGCAATTATTATCAGCATGTCGTTATTATTTTCCAATAACTTGACATTTTACCGCAAGCTGTTAAAGCGCTTGATAATGCGCACCGAAAACCCCGCAAGGCGTGTTGTGGGATTCAAACTTTTGCATTCAATTTTTAAGCAATAATTGACAATCCTGGATTTAACCGCCAACATATGCATAATAATACACGGCTGCCGCGTAATTACAGGTGGCACGGTTGCGCATAATCTTCCCGCCGCTGACGCGCAGGCGACGTGTGGAGGCTTTCAGTGCAGCCTTGTCACTCGCGGCTTGTATGACGAGTGTCACGCAAGTTGTCAACGCTCGGCGAGGCCACGCACCGCCGCGCCCGCTGAGCGTTTCGCGCTGCGGGCGCTGCACTCGAATGCCGGCGTGGCGGGTGCGGGGCGGAGAGGGGAGGCGAGGAGGGGTTCAAAGATCTCCCGTCGGGTGGACGGTCGTCCCCATACGCACACTTCGAATGTAGGGCCTCTCGAAAGCGGCGAAGTGGCAGAAGCCACTGCGGTTCTTTCACTTCAAGAGGGTGTTCAAACATGAAATTGTACTTTTAACGCATACATATAGGTATTTTTTTTTAACTTCAATGAAAGAAAACAATTAAGAATCGTGTTTTTCAATGTTTTAAAGTAGCATACAGAGCATATGTGAAAGAATTCCAATCGATTTTGTTTCTTAAAGCGACTGGAGGAGGTATTCATGCAATCTTCATTGAACCACGGAGCTTTCTACACATCAAGTCATAAACAACCAGATGTTTCTGTTTCTGAATTCATCCTTAAATCTTAGTATGTAATTTTTCAGCTTTCATGAAGTGTGTTAATATGGTAGTACGCATACGACGTAGTATCTATTTACATGTTAGTTGTTAGATTCGAAGCCAGAGAAGTATTAAATTTGCATAAATGTGAGCATTTTATACTTTCTATTGATCACCGTGTTCGAAAATGAATACTATGGTTTATTTCAAATTACATTATTATTATTAGTTTCATGTACGCCATTTATGGCAAATCGTATTCCATTTGAATTTCAAATGGTTTAAAATAGTATTACAATTTAAATAATAAATTTATCTTACCTTATCAAATACCGTTCTCAAGAATTGATAAGGAGTATTCTACTCGTAATTTACGGTTCAAGTGAACACGCTGCAAATAAATTTGCAGATTGGTTGGCAGTCCCGAGAACATAATGTAGTAAAAAGAGAGCATTATAGCTGACACCTCGTCATTGATCGCGAGATAGCAACATTCCCGTTACGCATGAATAAAGTGTGATACAGCTCTGTGGTAGCTACGTATTTCTCCGAACAACGCGAAATAAACGAATCTATGTGAATTGTACAATTGGATAATGTTAACGAGATGCGGTTTGATCCTGTTGCGGAAAATAACATGTACTTGTCACGATATAAAGATCAAATTGATATTAGTTAATTATTTATTTCGTTACGTAAACCTCTTTTACACAAAAAAGTTACAAATGCCCCACGTAATAAAAAATAATCATATATATTGATAATTTTACAACGTAACGCTGTATTTAAATATTAAAATGAAGATACAAGTCGCTACATACTACAAATTAGAACACATAAATTAATAAAAGTATTTTCATTTTTTTAGCGAATCTGTAATTAAAAAACCTCAGATAACGTAAGAAAAACCGTTTCTTCTGACAATCTAAACCTTTTCTCAGGAATTTCTATGCTTCACCATAAATCTGATAAATACATATTCATCCTATTTTAAGCCCCGTTCCCAATTCCGAAAAATTCAATCAAGATGCGAAGGAGGGTCTGACGGCCCTCTTGGGACGTCGGCGCCCCCGCCGCCTCCGCCGCCCGCCTCCCTCGCCCTCGCCCTCGCCCTCGCCCTCGCCGCCTTCCTCCCGATCTTCCCCTCTCCCCGCGCGTCACAAACGGTCTGTCGCTTGAAGAATGTTACCCGGAGAGAACTTTAACGTTACTTTCCATAAAGGAACGACGGAGAAAATCAGCTTTCGCGTCTGTACGGCAGAGGAGCGTACAAGGCCTTTAAGCCGCAATAGCCATATTTAAGCAGAGCGGCGAAAATACGGCGGCAAGTAATGGAGGACGCAGCGGAGAGGACGGAAACGTCGCGCAAGCGCGATGTCCGGACGAAAAAGGGTGCAAAGGAGCGGAAGGAAATACGTCAGACGCAGGCCGACGGCGGTGGCGGTAGGGCGGAGGGGGGGGGGCAGAAGACGCTCGAAGAGTAGGCGAGAGAAGGAAAGATTTAGTCTGTGAAGCGCCGCTCTGAATTATGTGCGTGTATGTAATTGCTTTAGCATCGGCGGAGGGCACCCGTCGCTCCGGACCCCTCCCCGCACATAAATCGAGGCCCGCCGCGGGCAGCGGGCGGCACGCGACGGGCCGGCGGGGGCCGGCGGCTGCGGCCAGCAGCCAGCAGCCAGCTCGCGGGGGGCCAACGGCCAACGGGTGGCGGGCCCCGAGCGGGCGCTTACCGCTCGCCGTGCGGCAGCGGGAACCCGTCCAGCGACCAGTGCATCTGCGGCGTGGGTTGGCCCGTCGCCACGCACTTGAGCGACACGTCGGGCCCCGGCTGCATCGTCTGCTCGATGAACTTGTACAGCAGCTGCGGCCGAGACGCTGCAACAGAGGAGCGGGGCGGCGTCGGCGCGCGGGACGGATGTGGGACTGCGCTCGGCGGTATTCGTAAAGAGGCTGGATCGTGAGGCAGGAGAGTGGGTAGGATAGTGCGGTGGCTGGACTGCGAAAGAACAGAGCGTAAGCGTGAGTGTGAGGATGAACTTATTACAATTCCGGAAAGGAGCACTGCAATTTTGGAGCGAATGCTATAAAATGGGGAAAGTACACCTTTCGCGTATTAAGTGTGGAAAATTTTCGTAAGATTTTGCGGATATATACAACAGAAGCTACAGCGTGTAAACAAAGGAGATAAACTGTAAGTACTCGTAGACCACTCCAAAAGAGTTCATAATGAGGATGTGGGATATTAAGTTTGATGCGAACTTGGAATGAAGTAGTAGATACATGAAATATGTTATGTATGGTAATAACAGTGCGGAACGTTTACACGACATGTAACTAGATAATTACGAAAACTTATGAATAATGTTGAGTGCTGAAATGAGATTTTGCGAGAGGCTCCTATTTGAACGCTGCGTTTCGAGTGTCGTGCAGAACGCCGAATGCCTGAAATAGGCCGTAAGAGATAAGATGTGGAAGTTCGAGGTCTGACGTGTGAAATGGAGTGAAGAAAGTGCCAAGTAGGTCGTCTGCAGGATTGAAAGACGAAAATACACCATGTGTTGAAAAGGCTGTGAATTTGCGTTGTGGAATCTGTAAAGACGATAAACGATGTCATGTGCGAGTTCGAAATATTGTGCAAGATAAAAAAATACATTGGATATTCTAAAACATCCACCAGGCAGAGAGAGAGAGAGAGAGAGAGAGAGAGAGAGAGAGAGAGAGAGAGTGAGAGGGAGGGAGAGGGCGAGAGTGAGTGAAAATTGAGAGAGGAGAGATGAGATAGCAATAACAACAGATTAGTTATTAATGGTGAACGATATTTTCTCAGGCATTTCTCTGTATATTAAGAAAATGTATGAATTTTAAAATTGTTGATTGTTCAAAATATTTGTTGTATTCATTTTATTTGTAAAATGATTAAAATAATTTACCAGTAGCATACTACGTCTAAACTCACATTAAAAAATTAAATATTTCAAGTCCAGGAAGAACGAAACAAATTATTTACGATTACTTAAATCATCTATTCGTTATCATATATTATTTAGTTTAGAAACTGTTTTATTCGTTTCTGCACGTTAATTTCACAAGCGTATACGCAATATTTGTCTATTAGCAGTAGCCAATCATTATACATTTCTTTAACTTATTTGGGATCATCTATAAATTTTTCGTAACAGATGTATCCGTCTTATCAACAAATTGAGTGTGATTAAAGATACAGTCTATCATAACGATAATGACTTCCGAAAAAGGTTAGAAAATTTCGTATTAAAAGTACATGTGTTTATTTTTTTCTTTTATTTACAGAGAAATAGTATTCAAAGTCTTCTAGAAGCCAGCAATATTCTGTGCTCTATCCTATTTCAATTCGCAGACTTCCAGAAAGTTTGTAACGCATTTTAAAATCATATATTCATGCATCTAGCAAATGTCTTTTTTACCTTGTTTGCATGTCTTCTCATTGCGATTTTGTCGTTTGCATCCAACATTCCGCAGACAGAACTCATTCGCCGTTTGCATCTCGTCATACGTCTTCTATCTAACTACATAAGGAGCAGCTCAAATGGATTTACAAGTCGTTCCAGAAGATTGACCTGGCGTCAAGCCCCGGAGGAGTTGAGTAACGTCACAACCTGCAAACTTCGTTGGAGAGTTGTCACGAGCGAAACCCGCCAAGCCGCGTCGCGAAGCCCCTGACATTCCGAGCGCTCTCCCAAACTACTGGCAATCGGCACGCAATCGAGGAACCATCAACTCGCGCGCCCTCCCGAGCACTGCATCTAACTTCGCTTCCGGGAACATCGTTCCCGCGCTCCAGCGCCGGCTCCAGCGGCGGCACCGCCCGCCCACGCCCG